CGATGGAGCTTATCATTTGAACTCTCTTTCTTCGCTCGTGGAACTTAATGCTGCGAATGATTCTCCAATCCTCCCCTCCCCTCCCTTCCCGTGTACCTTTGGAACACTTCTCTCGGCAGGTCGACCAGTCGTTTCTAGTTGTTTGTTGGACGAGAGTGAGCCAATGCTCGGCTCCGCTTTTTTCCGACTTCTCGGAGTTGCAATACTCGACCCAATTAAGTATTTGGGTGTTTTGGGGGTCGTCATGCCTTGACTTTCCGATTATTTCTTTCTCCCTCGAATTCGATATTAAACTCCATATTGGAGTTAAGCTTCTGTACTTGTTGTTCTGGCATATCGAGCAGGGTTACTCGCTCGTTGATTCACCGGTCATAAGACGGCCCATCCCTCATGTCAGAAGTAGTGGAACCTCCACAGCATTCTAAGTGGAATTCATTCATATTATGGAGTTGGCACGATTGGCCGTAATTCTTATCTCTCGAGTAATCTCTTGCTCAAAAGTACGATCGACGTTTCCGCAAGTTTAATTTTCTCGGTGACGGTCAACGACAAGAAAATATCAGCTTGAAGAAATCGAGCAATGTTGCCGCTCAACCTTCATGAGGACCAAGGGACGTTGAATATGTACCACGAACATCGAGCATGATCCCCGAGAGAGTTCTTTGGCCGAGTAGTACATCGGGAGCAACGAAAAGAAAATGGTTTCATTTCAGATATTTGTCATGCAGATTTTTTTAGCATCGATTGACTAGTTACGCCTAGTTGAAATATCGGTGTCGAAGCAAATGCAGCCTCAATCATTTCGTCTGAACAAAGCGCTCAGGAACTATAAACAATGCAGGATAGTTCTTGTCTAGCTGCGAACATGCAGCCAACATGACAGAAGCGAACTGTAGCTGATTCTGGAGTTGATGTAAGAACGGAACGAGAAGATTTTTCCAAATATTCTGGCAACCGCCAGCACAATACACCCAATGGGGAGAAGTACTTGCAGTGTAAGAGAAGCTAGATTCGACATTCGATATGGGGTGTATATGGTGGCAGTTGGGTAGTTACGTAAGTTGGTCTAACTCAAGGTTTGAATATATTCTGGTGATAAGGAGGTGCACGAATTCTTACAAAAATAGTCCAAAAAGTGGAGTTGGGTGATAAGCTTGAAAATTATACTCCACTACACCATACCCGCGTTCCAACCCGACAAAACAAAAAAAGTCATCATTCACTTTGACAACAGGAAGAAAATCTCGCCTGAGCCAATTTTCTATCTTTGCGGCTCGGGCTCTATCTCAGCACTACGTATGCTGCCATTATTTTTTGGCAAGAAGACAACAGTTGTGTATATTTGAGATTGGTTAGACTTCTGCAAGCTCTATGCTGAAATCTTGTAGGAGTGTTGGAGTCTGCGCATCAGCATCAGCGATGACCTAGACGTACGAATGTAAAATGCACCGCAATCTGGAGTGCACACTTTTTACTCCTCGTCTGGTCTTCCCATCCGCGTACCCTTGAACCACTCTTCCGTGTATTCCAACTTCCCATCTATACTTTCCACTGAGCTCACCTTCACCAGCACTCCGGAGAGTGACAAGCTCTTTGATTCTCCTGGAAAGTAATCACCCCTCTTCCATCCACCGTCTCGGGAATTTGTCTCGAGGCCCTGATCATCATGACTTGAAAGGCTCATTACGAATTGTCATGCTTTCTATGTCCGTTTATTGTACGTTTCCCTCTCGGATGCAAGAGTCTTATCATTAGACCTCGTATGTCGATCGTGGATAGAGTCTAATGGGCACAAATATGCAACTTGATATGAAATCGAGAACAGTCCCACTCAATATACCTTGAAAAAGCTGAATAGGAGAAAATTTCAAAGATTAGAATCGTCACTGGATTTTGAAGTCTCGGTGGAAAATTTTCGATATAAGAAGCTCACACGTTATTTAACTAACACACAAATCATCATAAGTTGCATAATTAAGCTTTCATTTCATGTTAAACGCCTTGGACTGAACTGTAGCTCGAATTCATGAATGTCCTGGTCGGTGTACGCATCGTTGCGTAACCAGATTCTTGGACAGAGCTCTTCCACCCTCAGAAAAGTCTAGCAATAGGAAGAGGAGGCGAGCAGAAGGGAAAAGAACATGTTTCTTCAGATTTGCACCGCATAGAGGCTTTGTACTTATTTGTCTGCAGATAAATACTCCATCTTATCCACGGCCTTCATCTCCACGCGTGTTTTATCGAGACAAGAAACCTCTTTGTACGCGGAATACGGTGAACTGTTTTTGAGCTTTTGCCAACTTATAGTTGAAAAGTTTATGTTTGCAGGCTTGTGGTTACCACACGTCGAGCCCCTCGTAAAAATTCTTATAAAAGTTTGAGCTATTCCGAATTGCCGAGGCTTCACCCAAAGTACGCTGGTTGTTTCCAGATTCAGTCTTTAGAGGCTCCTGATATGCTATACATTCCGCGTCAGGGGATCTGCAGCGAACAAGGGTCCAACTGTAGAAGCCTCAATGTGTAAACATCACCTATATCTTGCTTTCGAATTAAAGGCTGATTTTGTGTACCGCGCATGCACTGCAGAAGGATCCATTGACTGTAGTGTCTAGACTGAATGCAGTCCCTCGGTTTATATTCTCAAGCCGGGCCTTGACGTATGAAAGGCATACCATTTATGTCTAAGCTCAATCATCACCAAGTATCTGCAACGTATTTAAAGTCCTCGGGAAAATAGAGACCTGGAGAGATCTCTAGAATCAACACTCTTAAAATATATTCTATGCTTACGAACCCTCCTGAATTGGAGATTCAAATCTCGATAAAGTCCGCGTCTTGCAGCGGGCTTCATGTGCAGATGTGCATGCACATGAACCTTGCTGCAAGACTCCAATCCCACCTTTGGGTGGAAGACCGGTACAAAGGGTACAACCTCTACTCCCTTGGGTCCAGAGATGATGACAATACTAAAGTACAAACAGTGCAACCATCGAATCACCCGAACATCCAGGTCAGGTGCTAGATAAGTTCAGATCTGAGCTTGGTTGGTTAGGAATTGGCCAACATTGTGCACTGTTTGTTCAAACGCGAACAGAAGAACTACTATAGCTATGGCTGCTCTACGCCTACACTTAGATTGTGTGAGTCAGAGGAGGTCGACCTTTGTTGGGAACTGGAACTCGGGGACGATGGAGTATAGGAAGCGTCATCCCCATAGGTCATGACTAACCAGAACTTAGGAATTTCTCCCCCCTAACGTACAGCTCCCGGGTTTATAGAGGATTTGCATTGCACATATCTTGAGGGTGTGCACCACGAGCGGAATGATGCCGATCATAATAACGATTTCGATGATCGCAAAATCCATCCGTAACCAGATGTCAAGTAACCTGAGGTAGATGGTCGAAAGCAAGCAGAGCGAGGTCGGTGTTAGTTGTAACTACTCTTTGTCTAGAGAAGCCTAGACCCCTAGTGCACTCCACTGAATAGGACTGGGAAAGGATGGGGGTGAGGCTAGAGCTGCGAATACCTGCATGGTGCTAAAGGGGAAAAATATTTCATGGAAAGGTCGTCTTTTCATCTTTACCAGTCGGAGTGTTTAAATGCAGGAGACTTTGTTGGTCCGGATGCTCGGTTCGACTTTTATGTGCTCTTTCGAACGCACTAGAGTTACAGAAGAATCAGAAAGTTCTCTAGGCGGATGATGACGAGAAATGCTCTCTTCAGACATGAAAACATCTTTCTAGATGGTATCGCACAATTTAAAAAACCACAAAATGATTGTCAGACTCGTTTCTCTCTGTCTTGATGGCTGGAATTCAAGACTCATGGTATGACATGCAGTACATCATACTTATACTGTATGAGGAGAACGTACGGTATTGTGCTGGAAGGTAAAGCTCAACCCGAAATTTCCTGTGTAGTCAATCCACCTCCTCCAACCCATCACCAGAAGATTTAAGTTCTTGCGTTCTAAGCAAATCGATAGAATCTATGCTACTCATGAATGAAGGATATCGAAATATGAAAGAGAGGGTTTTAGCACGCTAGAAAATATCTGCAGTTCATACATGAATATTTGTGAGGGCTGCATTAAATTTGGCAATGCGACTTCTTCTTTCAAACATCGCCTCTTTAGGAATAAACCTCAAGTGAATGTCAAGATGAAGAATTTATGACATAAATATTTCCCTCATGAACGGGAGGTTGTTTCCATCATCCATACATTTCTGGAAGGTAGGAAACATCATGGAGACCTGGCCACTATAAACATGGCATTTGATCTATTTCATGTTGAGAAAGCCACACACCTAAACTTTATGATTGTTTGACTATCCTGAGCCCCTTCCTAGTCCTGAGGGGTGCGGGATTTCATAACTCCAACCATTTGCATGCACTTTACAGAACATTACAGCTTCCATGACCAGATTAGCCTCAATCAAAACTTGTAGGCATCCATCGAGAGCAGTATAAAGTTCTGGGCATGATTGTGTCGAAGAGTCGTCTATGTTTATGACTGTCAATCAATAACAAAAGGTGCCATACCAACTTCTACCATCATTCTATAATCGCCTAAGGGTGCAACACCGGCCGACTGATCCTTCTCGTCGTCTCAATATGAACTGGTATAAGAAAACATCAATGAGAACCTATAACATCCCAATATATACGTCCCAGCTTCCTCCCACCATCATTTTTCAAACGACCACATGTTTTTAAAAGTTCAAAATAATCCGTTGGAATCAAACTCGACCTACAGCTCCAAGAATGTCTGCAAACTTTCAGACGAAGCTTAGAATAGCCTAATGAAGACTTGACCAAACAAAGGATCTGTCACTTTTTCAGCCAACCAACGTCGAAGCTCAGTCCAATCTTGAACCGAAACAACAAAGCAGAAGATTCCTTTGACTCAAAGTGAAAGGGTACCAAGTACCTTTGACCAGAGCACTCACCTAGAAGACAGCTGAGGGAAAATATGTTTCTTAATGTAGCCCCATCGTATGTATGTCTAGAGTATGGGTCGCCTTGTCTGTTCTCCATACGGATATTTAGAACTGCACTATCATTGTGATGAATACGGCAGAGGTCATGAAAAGGTCGATTTTGGCAGCAAGCATTATATGCGCAAACATTTCATTGATTCGTTCGTCATCTAGCACTAGTCTCGTCTTTGCTTACCGTACACTTTCCAGACCTACTGGGGGATCCTTCTAGTGAAAAGCCGAGGGAGGATTGTACCGTAGATTTGTCTTTAACAATACATCACCGATTCACACAACTTTTGAAACTTTACCTCAAGATTCGTAATAAATAGGGATTCAACTTTTGTATCTTTGACTGATTCGTATGGAAAGAAAATGGTTAATAGCGAGAGAGAAAAAACAATATTGATGACATCCAAACACGAGAATCTGATCTCAACATAGTCTTCGCGTCTCAGGTTCTCCAGCCCACCCTGGCAAAGTGATGAACTGCATCCTCAACAGAAGGAGAGGAGTAATGTTCACCACGTTACTACTGTGTTACAACCTCCGATCCATGTTAAGAATGTAGAATAACTTGACGGCTTCATAGTATGTTTCTACTTGTTTTGAGCCCTGATTGAAAGGCTTTCGATCTCTATGCTACTATAAATGAATTTGGATTTGTTCAAAAGTGTCAATAACTGGGACCAGTATGTCTCAAGAAGAGTAATGGATTCTGGAAACATCAATCTTCTTCTGATACTGTATATGTGCAAAACAATGTTGTACTCTCAGCTATAGAAGGTGCATGTCTGACCTTCTAGCTGACCTACGGCAGTCATTTCTCATGTCCATGTGCATTCAACAACATGCCTTAAATTGACTTGCACTATGAAGCCCAATAATTTGTTTCAAACAGTGGTATGTTTCTAGAGCTGTACTATGGCATGGAAACAGAGTCCAAAACTGTTCACTATTTGGATCTATATACACAAGATACCCAAAACTTATGCTGGAGATTGTAGCTACAAGATGTAACTTACCTTTACGATGCCGAATGAAGACTCGGCATAAATGCCAAGGGGAAGGCCAATTGCAGATGGAGCGAAGGATAGTCTGTGTTAATGGAAAAGCATCTGTGTCTGGCCAGATTTGATCAAACACAGCATGTGCGGTCTCGCCATCATCCGCGTAGGTCTGAGAGGAGTTTGAACTGGTGGACAACATTTTCAATAAATTATATATGACTTCTTTAGTGCGTAGGTTATCTATATTCCAAGAAATTATGTTCAAGAGATTCATGGGCATACTTACGCATCTGTTTATGAATGTTTGGGAGTTCATTCTGGTCACATGCACATGTGATAGACGCGAAATACACAGACTTTGTGTGTCACATGGACACAGTTGATGCATTGGAACGTGGTAAGATTGATGAGATGAGTAAAGAAACATTGCGGAATCATCATGGACATCCGCGCAGCATTGGAGCACCGAGTGCTTTCGCAGGCCTGAGGTTCCAAAAGGTAAGTACGGAAAACGGATTCTCCTTCTGTACCTCGTGGCCTCGCCGAGCACGCTTGCGTGGCATAGATAGACACGTCGGAGGCGATAAAGGTTGAGTGGTCAACTAAGTGCTCCAGGATGCCACGTGACAGGAACCGAGATTTTTATGAGTGTATCGCACGGCTGTGAAAATATGGGATGTTGGAGGAAGTCTTTACACGACACGTGTTGCGCATACGAAAGCACAAGGACGCGTGTCAGCGTTTGTGAGGTGCAGGCAAATCATCTGGATCAGCGGCAATGATAAGTATGAACATGAGAGATGAAAATAATCCACCCTCTCTAATTGTTGAAGATGGAGAGTGAAAATTGTATGCACATTTAGTTCCTCGACCAATCGAGTATCAGAGTTAAGAATTTTGTAACCAAAATATCTGTGCTCCATTCGCAATAGCTATATCAACTCTTTTTTTAAATTATACAATATTTGAAATAAATTCGACCTCGTCAAACGGCACTTAAGAGAAGATTAGAGCTATGAGATGGAACTAAATTTCAAGCATCCACTACGGCAGTTGAACGGGATCATGCGCTTGGGGAGGTAACATATGACGGGGGATGTTAGGGTTTTTATTGAAGAATGTGAAGGTAAAGGTAAAAAAGTGACCACAACAGACCAAATTGTGGGACATAGCGTGGGAAAAGGGAAGCAGTGGACGCGACTGGAACTATTTTCCCTTCACTGAAACTATAACAGTTAAGAACACGATTACTATCCCAGGAAGGAATTGTGCTTAGCTGAAAGAGGACGTCTTCTTGTTCCAGTATTTCATGGGCACAAATTCCAAATTTGAGTAAATGGACCCACCCATATTTTCTTGGTAACCAAACAAATATATACCCAGGAGAAGACAAATTGGTCAGTCCAGTCCATTCCAGTCCAGTCTACCGAGTCTAGTCTGCACTTTACTCAAGGGGGGAGTCTTTTTGGTACAGGCGGTCTTTACTTTCTCACTTTTCAAGACCTCAAGGGTTAGAAAGGCTACAACTCGGTGTGAGCAGAACTCGCATATGGGCGTTCATGTCTCGGCTGACTTGGGAGGCTGGGGACGAGGAAAACCAACGAGGGCTCTGTAGATGATTACTACAGAGACTTGATAAAAGTGCGAGTGCTGCAGGAGCTGCAGTTGAAACCAATGGGAAGTGACCAGGTGGTGGTCAAAGAAGCAAGAAAATTTGAGGGGCAATGGGGACGCGCCATGTGGTGGAGCGGGAGGAAATGAAGAGAGGGGAAGACATACACTATTCGTTTCCTTTTAGGTCTTTGTGCGATGCACAAACAATGAATCAAGTAAGACACCGATGGGAATGAATGGGAATGACAATGATAGATGTGGAGACAAGAAGATGTTTCTTTCCATCGAGTAATGCAACAGAGAACAGTGCTCTTCTTCTCCTCCTCGCCTGCTCCTCCATGTAGATTTGGGAGAGGAGAAGAAAACAAAAGCTCAAACTGGTGCCGCTGCATTTATGAACTCACGGCCCGGTAAATCCTCGCCTAATCGCTGTCCAATAACTGCAGCCTCCAGGACCGTCAAGGGTCGAGTTGAGACGAGACTCGAGTCCGAGATTCTTAAAATCTAGAGCACAAGAGATCTTGATCTTGGCTTCCTGTGGTCCTAAACCGAAAATGGAGAAAGGCGCGGATGGGGCTGTGCTGCTAGGGCACGTGAAATCTCCTCCACTGTACGCTTCCGATTTGGATTGATTCATGATCAAGAACAGCAGTGCCCGGAGTGTCTTTGTGCTCCCCTACAGCACCCCGAAATTTCCCGCAGTTCATTGATGGAGAGGCACACGGAAGTGTGGAGATCCGTTGTTCCTTTCCTTTTCCTGCCCTTCCCTCCCTCCACATCCAGCACAAACCAAAAAGTGCACAGGCCCTGGTGTCGAGCCAAAGCGTCACAAGACATGGCAGTGAAGCCGAAGATTCTATCGATCCTGAGATTGCTAACCACGCAATCATAGGTTTCTGCTGAAGCCCGCCCGGTTCATGTACATCCAACAAACATTTTCCTCCAACAGAGGAAGCTCGTCACGATCTCCAGGGTTAGGTCGAGATCCATAGGTCCGACCGTCCCATTACGCTCGTTGCCACTTTCAACCTCCGCTGAAAAAGCAAACGTTGCCTCTGACCGTCAGTTGCTCGTCCGTCCCTTAATGAAATATGAGCCAGAGAGCATGTGATGAGAGTGATGAAAGGGAGGAGAACTGTTACTTTTAACAGTAATCAGTTACTCTCCAGCCCTTCCCTTCCCTCCCTGCCCGGCCGCCAGGTAGGACTTTTTTTCGAAAGAAGTTGGGTTTTTGTCCTACCTTCATAAGGCAGGGACTCCCGGGCAAGATTCTCCCAAGCATGTTCCCAGAGGGCCAGAGCCAAATGATTGGGGTAGGACCGAGGATAATAGGACATCGCCCAACAAGCCTCAAAGCAGGCGTTCTCACAGTGCGGGAACGAGACTGGCTCTGGGTCAAGCTTGCTGCCCGCATGATACCCACGAACGGCGGTCCGCTGGTCATCTGCCCCGAGGAAAATGGTTCCCTCCTCCTGCCCTCTGCGGGGGGAAATTCGTGGTGGGTCCTAAATCTTCCTTTGTCAGCGTACGTTCGGCCGAAGTAATTCCATCTTAGGGCACCTGTAGGTCACGTGGACCTCCATTTGACTCCACTCTCTCTAGTCTGACCTCCACCTGTACGCAGAATGTACATACTCCCCAGAACCAAGGCCAGGTGTCCATTTCTCTTGGGAAAGGCATTTCTGGGGCACTTGGGACATCCTTACCCTCAATAATTGGACCCCGCGCTTATCAGCACTAAAGCATTTCATTACGTGCTCCGTAACTCCGTTAAATTTTTGCTCCCTGCCCTGCGCTCCCTTCGCTGCCCGGCCTGGCCCGGCTGCCTCGCTCCCACCCTCCGACGAGGGAAGAACGTTTCTCATGTACCAGACCGTGGTCACGCACTTTTACGGTCATCATAACCCGGGGTTAACCACAGTGGTGCACTTTAGGCTTGACTTCATAGGGACAACAAAGGTGACCGTCGCTGACACGGAGTAAAAGCCCGAGCTCTATTCACTCGCTAGATTTCCCCCGTTTACCATCAACTTTTGACTTTTACTGTCGCCCCGGATAAGGCTGCATCAACGAAAACAGACCGCTTCTTTTAATATAATCTGGGTCATCGACCCTGATTTAAGCACGAACTTTATTCTCGTTTCATGCTCAGAGGTTCAGAGAATCAGTTGAAAGTGGACCGGAACGGGACTCTTGTGATGGAGGAATATAGTGACCTCAAAGATAAGACTAGATTAATGGCAGTGTTTGAGATGCAGACGCTGAACGAGATTCGACGACTGGAGATCATGCGTGCTTAACTCGACGTTTGGAAGGGAAAACGTGGTGATTGGTAACTTCTGCTTGCGTTCCATGTTAGCGGGATTTAATTCGTGGCGTCCAACATTCCTCAATCATGTTCGTTAGCGGCCAGTTGTATGATTACATGTTAGATTTACTCGATAAGCTGAATCTGCTGCTCGAACTAACTTCACTATGTGCGTTGTATGATCCAGATCTCAGGTGTCATGGAATCTAAATATCTCTGGCACACTTCGTTTCTTTCTTCTGTCTTGAATCGCTCTTTTAATCATATTCTATCTCGGAGGTTTTCTACAGTGGTGCAGATACGCAGAAAATGTTGGACGGATATCATTGCCCCTCACTTTGCATGTACTAGAAAACATCACCTTTGACCACACAATCGTGGAGCACTTACTACGAAAATGATAATCTCATCTCTCTCTCTATCTCTGTCTCTCTCTCTCTCTCTGATAATGAATCACATGCAATGAAAACAAACCCCATGGACATTTATGACTTCTCGATTACCGAATTGTTCACGTCCACTTAGCAATTTCTCTGAAAACAATCCGAGCAAAGGTTATTCGGAAAATAACCTTTGTTATTATCATGCGAAAATAATTAGATAGTTATAATGTCAGTGAGATTTCATTCGACGTGCCCTGTTGGAAAGTGTCCAACTTTTGTACTTGAGAGAGTGGAGAGAGAGGACGAGGAATTTAGACAACGATAAATCAGAATTACGGAAACGAATCGAGATAAACATGAGAGTTCGCTTTAACATTGTCTGGAAGTATAAATAGGAAGTGTACCGGCAAGAATAAGCACCTGTGGAAGAATAATAACGCCACTGACAAGTAAATGTGATTAGACTACAGGGTAGAAAGTACTGTACTCCGTTGAGTGAGATGGAAGCGGAAGGACAAGGGAAGAGAAGGGAGTTATATAGAAGCGTGGTACAACATGAAGCGAGTGAGTTAGGGTGAATGAGAGAGAGAGATCCAGAAGGTCCACCCACTTTACGGGAGACTGTCCGTCCCAGAGTTCCTTCGGGATGGATGTGAGGACTGTAGTAAAGTACAGTGTACTGTGCCGGACGTACCTTTCGCTGGAGCGGGAACGAGTCAAGGAGGCGTCGTCGTCGTGGGCTCGATCTTTTGGCGACCTCGCGCTCTCGCCCCTGCCTGTCCATCGGGGGGCCGATCGCGCACCTCTCTGCCCTTCGCTTCCCTTGCCTTGCCTTCCCTTCTCCATTCCTTCACGGCCAAGTTTGGTACATTCACAAGATTACGAAATCCTTTGAGAGTTTCGAGGCGCTAGACTCCTTCGTTGACTGTGCATAGGGCCGGACGCGTGGCGGCTGCTCAGTGGGCTCCTCAATTTCTTCCTTCGCGGGGCCCAGAATCCCTTGCCCCTCGCGATCTGCCATCATCCCTGGCAGCCCTCCCTCCCCTCGCCCTCGGACTCCTCGGCGTCGAAAATTTTCAACATTTGAACTTTTCGCTCCGAGAGACGCTCGCACCCGACGGCAGGCAGGCACGCAGCGAGCCTCGGCACTGTATACCCGGAGTTGCCATTGGCCCGGAGCCAGCGACCCTACGTCGGCTCATGACATCATGAATCCTGTCATCTTTCGTCGCGACTCGAGCTGCCGCCCTGAAAGTGCTCCTCGCCGTAACCTCACCGGCGGCCAGCCGCAACGGCAAGTCGGGCACTCTCCCGACAACTTCGCGAGGGTCCCCCACCAGTCGCACCCTCCGGGACCTTCGTCCAGGCTGCCTACGCCGTCGCGGAAGTGTTCTGTCTCGGGTACTGGTGCTGATTGGTGGTGAGCCTACGAGGCCCGCCGACGTCGCTTCCCGGTTCGAATTGGGTCGCGCGCGGAACGACTTCTTTTTTGGTCGACGGAAGGGCGATCCTGCACTCTCAGGACATCGTCAGACAGAACGACGGCGACGGGGTGGTGGAATCACGCCGACGGACCGTCAACCATCGCCGTGGTTGCGTTCAGTTTAGAGGACCCGACATTTGGTCTATTGTCGGAATGCGTCTCCTGCTGTACTCGACACTTACTGCACGTTTTATCTGGGTTTTCTCCACCCACCCAGTAAGTCAAAAGCTGGGCACATGAAACGCCATAAAATATTTTGTTTGTCCACAGAAATATTCGGCTTTTCGATATTCAGCTTTTCAGTGACTAATAACAGGTTACTAATCAAAACATAAAGCATCGCGCTGAACGACCACGTTAAAGGTGGATGCTTTTTCTGAGACTCTGAGACGGATCATTTTGCGATTCATGATCGACGACTGACCATGTGTTCCCCGTCTTGTCCTTGGTTATTGAAGCCGTAGCATTCTCACCTAATTCAACTGATGTATTACTGGAGGCAGAAAACAAAATGCATAAACCACAGCCGGTAAAATATGCGCGTTTCCATTCTGCGTATTCTTTTTACCACCGATCGTGTTTTGTATTACGTTGCGATGTTGGAAGCCATTTATAGTGCAGGAGGCATTCAAGGAAAGCATTATTCGTAGATCTTAATTTGGCAGACATCTTCGACAAATGGATAACAGTTGTGAGAGTGGTGGAAAGGGATTCACAAATAGAGAAGCCTTATTGGCTTGTTTTCCGGATGCAGTCTGAGGATTCTCCAATTTTAAAAAATCCCAGGACTTCTGTCATTCTCCACGAGATCTCTTGCTCTGCTTTCGCAGGTAGTTGGCATGTACAGGAAAAGATTCTGAGATGTGGCGGCTTACCACACTGTCCTAAACTTTCATGGTGTCTCGTCTATTTTAACAATGAAGAAGATCTTGAGTGAATTTGCACCATTCTTCGCTTTATACTAACTTGAATAAAAATTAATAACTCGTGCCAAAATTGATATCCCAAAGTACATTCCGAGAGGTACGTGAGATATAAATGTCACTGGACAAAACTATCAAAACTTTCGATAGTTTCGTCCCGCTAATCAGTAATTTCGGCTTCAGATTAGCAAATTGAACTAAATTACTGTACATCTGTTTGCGAAATCAGTGTTCACAATATAACTGAGTATAGTTCATCAAAACCGGGCCCACAAAAAGTTTAATCACTTTACTGGGCTTTCAAATCGAACGCATGCGATGTTGAGAAATACGTGCCAGTAATCCTTAAATCTCTAGAAACTTCTCTTGAATGATGTTTCTTTCAATCAAATGATTTAATTATAGATTCTTGAAAGTACGCTAATGTATTAACACCATAAATATTTTTTTAAATAGCTTCCTATTTCACATGAAATAATATGAATATTGAGAAATAGTTAAGAATTTAATATGAAGTTTTAATTTTTTAACATTATATAATTAACATATCAATTATGATATGTAAAATATATCATAATTTACATAACTATATATATTAAAATAATTTATTTATCACGTATTCACAACATCAATTGCGCCAAACATTTCCAATCAACATCAATTCCCATGGATCCAACTAGAGACTCTAGAGCTCTAGTCTACCTCAGTGCCTACCTCAGTCTTTACACATAGTTAGAGGAATTACAGAGTTTAGTTTTATATCTATGTCTGATCTTATCCATTCCACTAGAAACATCAATTGTTACATCTGTGAATGTGTATATATTAATCATGAAGTAACATCCAATCGAGCATGTTATAATTCCCAACACAAATGCAATAGGAAAACACCAGCGATGCAACATGATCGTTTATATCGATAGAATAAATTGTGTAAGCTCATCTAAGAATTTGACATTTTATCAAAACAATTATACTGAAAAATCTTTTCATTTCATCGCGAAACTATTGACGCCTAGCTGCTATTTTTCTTCTTACTTGATCCCCTCTCCTTATGAATATCGCCTAGCAATCATGCGTGATTATTGTTAGATCCAATTTGCTTTTAAATGACGAAATTTCCTGCAAAAAAAATGTATTACTATGTGTATATGCAATTTACTGTGCAGACTCTCTTGAGGTTCTCGTGTTGAGGGAATAAGAGTCCATCTCACCGCATTTTGTTATAGGAGGCGTTGAAGATCAGTTCTCACACAACGAGCATGTCATCATATTCCAGGTATTTGTTCTTAACTACAGTGATCATAAGAATCAAAACTGCGCTCGCCTGATATCTTTCATTCGCTTTGTATGGGCAACAAAATTTTCTATTTGCCAAGATTTCATCATCTGGTCTTCGTGAAAGTTTTCGCTCCGACTTGCAAGCCCTATGCGATACAGGATCATTTTGGTCAAATAATTCACTGAAGTGGACAACCTTGCCCCATGGTCATTACTATATTGGCGCATAACTGCCAACTTTGTTTCAATTTGTTCGAACAAAGACTTTCCTACAGCTAAACATCATTATGCCACATCTTAGAGTATATCAGCTTACGTTGAAACTTTCAACTCCATGTGATTAATAGTGTCCTATGACCAAATTCTAGGTGACAGTGTACGTTGTCCGTCATCATTTCCGGTCATTGACTCTGCGGATCAGGCAACGTGCACTAGACATGAAAACGTTGTAAGGGACGAGAAGTTTGTCAGTGACGAAGTGCCATAGCCCCTCTTAAAGAATTATCTTTTGATCTTGTCAAGTTTGCATCATTTGCATCATTGCATCATTTCTCATTCTGAAAGCTAAGAATCTCCAAACTCCATGGGCGGAGCTTAAGTTGTCCTGGCAGGACATCCGTCGAATTTGCTTACCAGCTTTCATTAGTAAGGACCGACTTTCATAAAGCCAGTACTGTAACGCCCTCCTCGCAATGCTTTCTCCGCATAGTCATGTACCATTCTATTAGGACTCTTCTCGACATGACGTTGTAGAGGAAGAAACGCGAACTGGTCTCCCGTCGAACCTAAGTTTCCAACTGTATTCCATACGCAGCCTGATAACTTAATGCCCTAACCAGAGCCATATGGAACACTCCTCTTCACATGATTCCGCATGCCTCCTACACTTAACAGTGCGTCACAGTATGCTGAGCTGTCAAACACTAACACTCCATTCTCATTTCACATCACGAAGGACTGCCCAGACGCTTGTACAAGTTCTTGTCCTTTCAGGAATGTTTCCTGTGATACAGATCATTGCAGATAGATAACACTTCTATTTTCGTAGTAAAAGACAGAAGTGGGGAATCTGGCAGAGTGTATTGATCGATGGGATTGGTTTTCCTCCAGCAGTTGAAAACGACCTCAACTGCCAGTAAATCCGACGTGCAATCTATTCGATGTTCCGACCTCGGGCCATGTATATCACTTTCTCTATTCGGCCTGTATCTAGAACTTAGTGCAGGCTAAACCTTGATATCCAACTAGCAAGAGAAGGTGACTCCTACAGACTCCACATCTCCCAAGTTCAGTCCCTCACGGTAACTTTGGTGAATTTCTACCACTATTTCCTTCTTCTATTGACCTACATCCTCTTTATAAGTCCACAATTCACGCACGCAAACTCTTCCCCTGAGATGTATCTTACTGTGATCAGTGATCTGACTTCACCTGGTATTTATTATCTTGTATTATCTAATCTTCTTGTCTTGATGTGGATAATAAATCAAATCTATCACATCGATCTAGACCTTTGATAGTTTTCGTGTTGGGGATGCAAATGACTGATGTTACTCTTCAAAAGTGAAGTACGTCAAATGCGGCAGGCCAATGAACTACATCTATCAATTCTAAAATCCAACAATTCAAATCGAAACATGAACATACATGGAGAACAACGACATCGGTTCAAGTTACTGACTTTACATTCCAACAATGCCAAGGGGACAGTAGAAACTCTCCATGCCAGACAAAACTAAAACACATAATAACCAAAATTTCTGCATAGAACAATTCTAACCATGCCGGGTGAGTTCAATCCCAAGTCATGGCAATCATTGCATTCCCGAGCCCAGCTTCGTGTATGCTCGTTACATCGTTGAAATTGAATGGGGTACCACCGGGAATTGCTTGCGATAATCGAAACGACCTCCCTTGAGCTGCCTCCGGTACCTGGGAACAGCAAAAAGACCATAGATTCTGCCATACAACAAAAGAAACCCTAGATGAGCGATACGTGCACCAACGTACACCTTACAAATAGTAAAGTCATACTAAAGTTCCACACTATGGGTTTTCAAACCTTCAAACCATTCCTCACAATCTGCTCCAAGGACATGAGCACAGTGAACCATGTGTTTCACGGAGACATCATTGCAGAATCAAAAGCATGCAAACTTGTACCATAATAAGTATTAATTTGATAACTGATTGATAATTTATGTAAAGAAACCTCAATATGCGAAAAGAATCTCAGAACTCAAACAGGACATTTTATACAAATTATATAGCAACGTATAAATAGAAAAGATATACATGGGAAAAAAATAGGATAAACATTCACAAAAGAAACAAAATTGGTTTCTTTAATTTCAACTTCGAAATATACCTGTATAGGATCTGAACGCAGAAATCTCCGTTGTGCTCTTTTACCATCAGGTAGTCGAACAGCAACTCTGCATGCTGCAGTATTATTAGCAGCAGGTTCTTCTGGCAATATGGGATATGTTCTAAGTTTAGGCACAGTAGCCTCGCTAACTCGCTGCTCTTCAGCTCCACAAGCGCTGGCACTTCCCTCAGCCTTAGCTTCTTGCGTTGAGTCTTTCCCTTCAGACACAGGAGCACTAGCATCCTCCAAAGAGGCAGCCAAAGCCCGACGAAGTTCCTCCTCTTCGTCCATTTCCGCTTTCTCAACTTCTGCATCTTGAGCAATCAACTTGATATGAGCCGAACAATATACATGAATCCGCATATCAAGGTGTAATGCTAAAAGAATGCAACAAGTAAAATTCCAAAATCTATATTTAGCGCATGATGATGTACTGCTAATGCATGTCATTACCTCTAGGAATCTCGATGAGTTTCTTTGCTGACTCACGCGGACGTTTTTGTGGTGGGATAGCTGGTAGTTGTTTTTCCATTGGTCCCCTGTCCAAATAGGGGACCAGATCCTGCAGCCAAAAATCTGCTGTGAGCACTGGCCCTTCGGAACTAAGGTATTACATCATTAATTTGAGCTGTAGATCTCTAAGCTCAATAATTAAGATGGCATAAACGTTATTGTAATGCAACTAATTCGAAAGGTTACAAACAAGAAGCGAGACACAAAATCTGTGTAACAAACCTCCAGTAACCGGTCAGGCATGATCATGCCTTCCCAGGCTCGCATTTTCTGGCCCGTAAGAGGATCCAAAACTAAGGTGGTTGGCATAGTATTTAACTTATAGTAGGTGCACACTTTTCGTCCTTCTTCGGTGTCATCATAAACCTGCCACCATTGCAAGAATGGGTCATCAGGTGTAAGAACTATTTCTTGGCCGTGAAAATGGACAAAATCACAACTGATACATGTGGTTTATTTATGGTAACGGACTAACTAGGTCGAAATGAGGGGTGCAATATAGTTCCAGTTTTAGTTGACTAATTCATCTTCACAAGGCAAAAATTTCTCGATATCCAAAGATTTAAAGTCCACCGAACAAGAAGAAGTGAACAACATCTGAAACTTTGCAGATCGAAGTGACAAACAGTCACCATTTTGGACCATATTCTTCGCCAGCTATCAGATACGTATGGAATGCATGCGGCGAATCAATGGGAATACACAGTCTCTCGTCACATGTCGCAAAAGGAGCACGCCTTCCTTGAAGAGAAAGTGGGAGGATAAACTTCACCAAGAAGATTGAAATTGAACAAACCACACAATGAGCATAGATGAAGAAGAATGCTATCTGACCATCAAGCGGTTAGAATGTAGACTCCACTCACGAAATTTTGCTACGTAAATGGAGCAAAACATGCTCAATGTTGCCAATTTCTTCTCTGCCTTCTACAGTAGATATAGCTTTTGCTGTTGAGTACTATCTCTACATTTTTCGAGTTCCCATGCTGTGTTCAACATTCTGAGGCCATGTCAGTCCTAAAACCCATCCCAGTTTTCATCCACAGTCCATACAAAAACTTGAACACTTAGGAGAAGCCTTCTGATGAATGGACCTTCATCATCTGTACGTTCTAAATATCAACCTAAACACAGAAACCAAAAGAGAGCAAATCAAACTTGCGGGAGTGACAAAACTTACCGGTGAGCTGCTATGGCAACGAGATTACAACCTAGTACATTTACCTCAACTGCTAAGGACCTATCTCACGTTCGGCAACGTACTACGTAGAAGTAGGACCCTGGTATTATGGAAGTAGGGAGATTGAGTAGATGGAAATTATTTGCAACAGCTAATGATTTCCATCCGACTTGACCTACTCACTTGAGACCCACAACAGAAGGTTGTCTTCATTTCTCTTCAATATCTTTGAATGAAAATCCTATGTCAAATTTTAACCCGCATCTGCACTCTCGTTGATTCGTCCCAGACGTCGTTGCCCAGCTCAAAACCTACTCATTAGTGCCATATCCCTCGACACCTAAGAACCAACTGAATGTCTAATAGGAGCTCTCGTTTCACCAATTTAGCCACGTTCGGGAGATGTATAACTTCCCAAAAGAAGTGACTGCCATACGCCAAACATATACTTACTTGATGTACTCACTAGCTTCCTGACAAGTGAGATCAGTGTTATATATGAAGCTAAATGGCGTTCCATCCCGAGAGCATCTAAAAATCAAAATCTCATGAAGGTATCAAACATAGGATAATATACCCATTATCCTATGTGTAATACTTTCATGAGATTTTGTGTAGGATAAGTTTAACCAACACAAATCACATACATATATACATATGAAAGACAGGGATCAAAGGATGGGCAATTCATGACGCCCACCTGCCAGAATACGAAAGACATGCTGACAGTTTCCTTCACCGCCTCATGCGCCCAGGTATCTCTGTTGAGCTGCTCAGATAAAACGTGAAAATCGTACAAAAACAGGAGTTAGTGTAGGTGCGAGTTATTCCACTTCATCAGTATCGGCAGACGAAACAGAACGAGATTTTTGTTTCGATTTTATTCAATAAGTTGCACCACATTCTATTGATTCCCCTGTGGAATCCAGTTTCGGAGGCTCGGAGAGAAGTAATACTATGGACGAAAGACATGAAAGTTCAGTGGGAGCAGGCTAGCGATTTTCAATAAGATGTTCAATGTTACTATTGCCAACAAAGGAACATGACTTTGAAAACCCTCAGAAACGCCGTATAGATATGAGCTACTAAACGCTTATGTGGTAAGCGACCTTATGATAGTTAATCGTCTAATCAAGCCTGAAAACCAAACTCCGTACCGTATAACTGGAGAACTCTTTGGTTGATTGAAGGTTCACCAACAACCACTTCCCCTGTCTTGCAGCCTCACTTTTGGCCTGTATGCAGATTCCTTGAAAGTGAGAACAATATAAACACTCAACAATTAAAATAGAACTCCTGTCTTGTTTTGCCTCGCTGCTCTGCAGAAGTAAAGGAGGCACATGCGCGATCGCAGTCAACGATACCTGCTCAAAAGTACCCTGAAACATAAGATCGAAAGGAGGCCGGTAAAGAGCAGCCAAAGAGTCCTTCATGCCTCCAAGACCAGGAGAAGCACTATTGCTGGCTTCCATTGCTCCCCAAGTTGCCCGCTGATTGGCTTCGTCCTCGAAATTTCGAAATGCATCTACAGATGTAGGTTGATTTGGAGTCTGGGCCATGCGATGGGCCCTACACATATACAGTAAAGAGTAATGTCCGTTAAGTGTCATGTCGAGTCCATATCCACAAGGTTAAGGCGTAAGGATGTATACTATAATTTGGTTTAGTCGTTTATGTTAATGGCATCATATTATGACCTGCACTAAGCAACATGTGCTGTCAGAATAAGCAGACAAGAAAAATCTAAAATCAGCGATATGATTATTTGTCCCACGAGTTAGCATGTAATCACCTGAGCTGGAATATGTCCTCATACAGGACCTCCCTCTTAACTGGCAAAGGTGGCCGTACATAGTTCTCTCCGATCGTATCCTTCGGGCTGTGACCACGGAAAAGCAAAAAATATTAGGAGGCAATACATAGTTTGCCATTCCACAAAATGTGCGACGCACTAATACGTGTCAGTGGCTGGAAGGTAAACTAATACCCCAGGAAGATATCCACAATCCACAAGCAACAGCGTTGGAAATCTAAACACTCTCTGCTCTGCAAAACACTAGTTATCATAAGTTATCAATATCCAGGCAAAGGTGATAGAAGGGATCTCACCTTTCTGGTGCACGGACGACTGGGGCAGGTGCAAGATCCGGTGGAGGAGACGAGTCGGGAGCAGAAGTTGATGGCACAGCGGCGGCGGGAGCTGCTGCCGCAGCTAGCCCCACCGCTTCACTACCCCCGGCAAAGTAGAGCTGTATTGCTTCCTCCAAGTGCCAGCTGGTTGCCTACGATCAAAAGACTCAAAGCATGAGACCACAGCCTTGCCAAAGGCAGACCACATGAATCAAAGCCTTCTTCCATTCTCTCTAATACCAAGGATGAAGGTGAGAGTAGTCCGAGTAAAAAAATACTCGTCTTCTAGGACATTTACTCTCTAAATTCATTGCTCTACGCTTAGAAAGCAACGAAATTCGAACAAGTCCGATGACGGTCACGATGTGGTTATCATAGTGGGAAGTAGCGTGACATTGAGAGACATGTCATTTTCTTCCGCTAGGACAAATTTTATTTTTTTCAAACATTTCACCTAACAATTTGGAAAGAAACGCATATCAAAATTGACCATATAAATTACAAGTACCAAAAATCGCAAGGTGAAGAAAGTGGTCTCCAAGAGGTTTCAAGCGTGATCCATCCAGGCTCCAAAGATGTCAGAGTAAAGATACAGAGAACAAAATACAATGAATGTATTCAACTACAGGACCGCCCTATGTGGTCGATATCTCTAGATAATAGAGCTCAGTAGCTCTGCAGGAGTGCCCACTCAATCAATCCGATTCCGGCTTTCAGACGTCCCTTGACTACAACGTTCATAATGGAATCATAATGTGAGATAATTGAGAGAAATTCCAAATTTTAGATTCAGGTACATTACTGGATACATGCTTGCGAAAAAAGGTAGAGTGACAGGAGAAGGTGGGTGGACTCCGAAGAAAGTCATAGGTCATCACCAAACGGCCTGAAGAATCAGGAAATGCCCTAATGGACTCACCGATCAAATTTCTAAATCAAGGCCACGTTGAGCAAATTCCTGGGAACTATTATGACAAATGTAAGTTTCTTACACCCTCAGATTCCTAACGCACTAAGAGCACAATAAAAAAGAATCCTAAAAAAACCAAGCAGCGCAGAACTCACGCCTCACGGGAAGAACAGGCATGCACACCGCAAAGCCAGCTTTTTTTGAACATACCAATCGCAGGCTGACATTGCACAAAAATCAATGGCTTCCACTCCCAATCTCCTAAGACCGAGTGGACAACAGAGACGACAGATGGGGGAAAACCAACAACGGGAAGAACAGCAAGTCGAAAACCTGAAGAAACTGCCGTGCCAGGTTGGCAGGTTCTCCAGCAATTTCCATAAACTGCTGAATTCTTTCCTGCTCGTCGTCCGCCTTCGCCTCCATATCTCGTCCTCTCTTGCCCCCCAACAGCTTTCCAACTCAATTCACACCGCCCGAAGAATAATGCCCCTCCCCGAGACGCGACCGCGCACCGTAAACACCAGCAGCAGGAACGCTACGCCCGGCGCCCCTCTCGCCCCTCTCGCCCTGCCTCAGCTGCTGGCTCGGTGCAATCAATCCCCTGCTCGAGTTCGTTCCAACCTGTACACATCGAGCTCCCTCCCTTTCCTCGCTGTGCCCCCGCAGTCGAACGGCGACGATGATGATCGCACGTTTCGACTGACTAACAGACAGACAGACAGACAGACAGACGCCGCTGCTGAGAAACTAAACTCTCATTCCACCAGCATCGAGCAACGACTGCAAGACCTCGTCCCCTCCCCCTCCCCCTCCGCCCCTTCTTCTTCTTCGTTGTCGTGGTGCTCTGCTCTACGACATCAACGACGACAACAGCCTGGCTGCAGCACTAATCCTGCTCCACGAAAGCGTCTTCTCCTCCTCCTCCTTCTGCTTCCTGGTCGTCGTCGTCCCCCTTCGAGCCTCGGGTGTCCCTGTCTCTGACTCGCTGGTTGCTCGCTTGCTTGCCCTCTCGCCTTTGCGCTTCTTCCCTTCTGCTGCTACTGCTCCTCTTCTCGGCTCTCGGCTCAAGGGCCTCCGTGGCCCCGTTTCCGAATGGGAGCCCGTCGCATTGTTCTCGGTTTGTCTCGAGGCGCAAGCAAATCCTTTTCGCCATTAGAGGGGCATGTTCTGCTGTTTTGTATGTTCTCCTCCCTCGGTGGGGCCTACTACTACTACTACTCCGCTGCTCGTCATCATACCCCCGCAATCGCCTCTCCACCCGCCCTCCATTCCCCTCCCCTTCACCGCCCCACCCCACCCCACCCCCAGAACCGATCCTCCCGCTTCGGAGGCGGCCAGCTCGAACTGTCTTTGCTGCGGTGCGGAGGGGGGAGGGCCTTTGGGAGGCGTTGTGCTGTGCATCTTTCGTTTCAGGACGGAGGTGGACGTCGAGGGGGCTTGTGCCCCGGGGAGGGAGCGGATGGCTCAGCATGACACGTGGTCAGAGAGGCGCGGGACTTTTAGCTGCACTGGTTCTCGGGGCCGAGAGTTTAGCCGATGGGACGGCAGGGGAGGGCAAGAGGTTTGGCCCTCGGTCCGCTATTGTCGTAGACGCGTGGCTTGCGTTCACGGATATCTCTAATCCATCGGTAACGCAGACGGACTGGTCTGTCTCTGTCAACGTAGACGAAAAGTGGGTCCCACATCCCCCCTCCTCGTCGCGCAAACATCATTCCGCTTCAGACTTTTCAACCCGCACCGTATTCATATCTTACGCCCGGGTGATGAACTTTACCTTCATAAAGATTGGAACTTTATCTTTACCTCCCGCTCTCTCGACCTCCTTTCCTCGAGGCGAGCTTGAGCTTCAACTGCCTTTACTTTTCATGCTCGAAACACTCGAGCCTGGACCATGCGGGCCGTCCCGGGCCATCTGTAAAGGCTTCGGATAAACTCTCATCATAAGGACGGGAGACGCTTTCATTTTGTCCATAGCTGCCGGATTCCACGTTTGCGGACCTTGTTGCGGAGAGGACAATCTTCTCAGAGGATTCTAATTAGGGGAGACATTTTACGTCCGGCAAAGTGGTCGACTACAGTATTGACTGGTGCTGTACGTACGTGGTTCGTGGGGCCTACATCCAGCCCCTCGCTACAGTCTCTCTCAACAGCCCGCAGTGCGTTTCCCGTACTCTTACCGAACCAGGCTTTCATTGTACTGTACAGTACTTTATTCCTCTGTCCGCCTAATTTCTGACTGCGGAGGAGCTTAATTGACTGTGTTCCTTTCCCTCTCTTGTGTACTTCGTCAAACTTGGTAGAATGTTCCGTTCTCCTTCCAAGAATCCAGTCTCTTGGGGTTCATAACCACGTGAACATGTTCTCTTCTGGATATACGCATCGCCCATAGGGAATCGTGGCTTATTGAATACATTTCCTATATGTGTCATTTATGGCTTTACACCTTTTTTCTATTTTTTTTAAATCTCTATACTTTTTTTCCTAATCTGTTCGAAAGGTCGGAATGTGATGTGTAATTTCTCGTTTACATTATTTGGCTGTTCAAGCTCAACTTTGACGCTGCTTCACTACATTTTTACAGCAAAACCTCGGTACGCATAACTTTACTATGCTGACATATTTCATCACACGAGTATTTCCTGCCTATCTATCTCTAGTAGTCACATTCCACTGCACAGTCATTATCATACTCGACGGATCATGTAAGGTTGACAGAAATGTGATGGATTCTACCACATCATGCATCGCCTCAATATTTACACCTTGTCTCTTTTAAACGAGAACCTTGAATATATTTTGCAATTGCTTAAAATATATAAACCTAATTTTTAGGACTGATTCTCGTAGAAAAATAGTCGGAGAAAATTTGTGGATATTTATTGAATTCATCTCATTGACTTGGACAGAGCAGAGAGTCGAGGATCCGAATGGATCAACTGACATAATTTCCGTAGCAGTGATTATTTTGGAAGAAAAGTTGGTTTCACTCCTCATATTCAAGCTAAAGAAACTTCGGAAAAGAAATTGCTTACACTTTTTTATTTTCAAGTTCCGTGTCAATATGTTTATTTGAATTTCATGTTTCATACCTGTAGTAGACATCTTGTGGTTCTTTCACACTGTAAATTGAATTACTTAATCAATATATTCCATTATATGTTTCTCAAGTATTTTAGGTTTAACTATCACAAGCTTCAAAGATTATTAGGTTCACTTTGAATTACTTAATTATGAAAAAAGCTCTAAATTAGTTAAATACTCATTCAATAGTTATCATATTTTAATTGGAAACGTAACTTGCATTAGAATTAGATATAAGATACAACAAGTTGTTAATACATTTGCAATCTGAAACTTGCTAGCATCGCAAGCATTCATCTTGATCGCAATCCAATTCTTGTTCCACCAACCAGAAATAATAAATAATGATTTCTAAAATCTTTCTTACTCTACACAACACATCATCAAGTATTATTTTATCAACCCAGAAAATGAATAATGGTAACAAACTTGATCTCACTAATCACAGTGTATTAGCGTTAACAACACAATGAATAGATTATCATCTCATACAAATATAATTAAAAAACAAAGATGAAACATGAGTTTTCATAAAGACAAGTTGCAATATTATATTTTACAAAACATATACATAGTTATAAAAGTAAAAAAATCACAGTTCGCATAGATTTAAAAACTTGAAAAATGAATTATTCTACCATTCAAGATTGAATTTTTTAAGCTATGATATAAATTTAATCAATCATTTAGATCAAAGTAGAGTTTATCCAACTTAATCGATAATGAAGATATTGCGAAAGTCACTTAATATATTTAATTTAAAACTTCATATGAACATGTTTATTAGAACATGTAGATACTAAATGGAATCATGAATGAACAATTTGCGTAATCATGATTGTGTATACTTAGACATGTTTAGCCTGAATTGCTAAAATTAAATTGATTTGGACTCATCAAGAATGGTTAGTTTAGGCGAGAACCAAATGAACTAGATTTCAAAGAAAAATATAAATTGATCAAGTTCCAGAGATTAACAGTAGTTATACCTCTCGATAGATTCTCTAGATATGTTTGACTAATTTTTAATACGTGAAAACAAAATATTGGTCTATTTAAACTTTCTTAGAAGTTTACTTGACCATAGTTTGATGTGGCGACATGTCATTTGAGACTTTTTTAAGTTTTAGTATCTACACTTACCACTAAATCAACTTTAGAATTAATCTAACTAATGAATTTTCCTTTACTTAATCAAATCAATCAAAGCAAATCATGTAGTCAAAATATTTTCTCTTGAAATCTAAATTTTTATAAGAGATAAAATAGTAATGTTCACTTAAATTTTTCAAAAATCCCGTAATCCTTTTGTTAAGCATAGATATATCTAAATTAAATATATAATATATCTAATATATAATTAAATATATCTAAATTAAATTTAACTATAATTAAATTTAGTCATAACCAGATAAAATTAGTTATAACTATCTAGATTTAGTCATAACTAGCTAGACTTAGTTATATCTAAGTTAACCATGATCAACTCCTTGGCTTAATCAAGAATCTTCACACATATTACAATGATATACATACAACAATGATCTTGCAATTTCATTTCCATTGATCACATTACGTTTCAATCTACTTATCATCGATGTGGTTATCATTTATCATCATCATCGGTATCATTTGCGTCTACTACTGCCGCTTCAATCTCCTTGTCATCGTTGTTACTAATTAGAGTCTTTTGGCCCGTTTCCACATTCATCATCTACAAATCTACAACTTTTGGAGTATAAATATGGATATTTTCTTATTGATTTTTATTTGTTGAGTAAATTAGTTTTATTAATTGAAATAATAATAAATTTGTGTAATTTTTTATGTTTGATTATTTAGTTTAAATTCTTTAATGCAAAATGAAGGGCGATTGAGTTGATGCATTACATATAATTTTCAATCCTGGTATTGCAACATCTTCTTGATTAGCATCGCTTCATCTGTCTTTATATATTTTTGCCTAAAATACATTTTCAAATGTTTTAATGTCCATCGTAACTTCCTCAGATTAGCTTATGATGTATGTGGGTTAGCTGTTGCGGCCATTTATGATCATGACAATTACGTGACTAGTCTTCAAAACTTTTTTACCTATCACAATTATTAGAATTTGTTAATTCTTGTATATTTGTCTTGCAACTCCTTGATTATCACAATTTCACTTGTATCTATATATTTTGCCTAAAAAACCAATTTCAAATGTCCTTGTGATCATTACACGCTTTGGAGAATAACTTATGCTATGCTTGGACCATTTGTTGTGATCATTTATGATCGTGACAATTACGTGACTAGTTTTTTGTACCAATTTCATCTACCACTATGGCCTCAATCTATTTGTCAATACTCTGATTAATCTTGAAATCATTTGATCCATCTCTATACCTTGTGGCTCTGCCACTGGGGGGTGGAAGGGGGAGGGAATAAGGGAGCGTGTCCTTCTCAAGCAAACCCTATCCTTGAAAACGCGGGACTGAACAACCACATGTGCTCAACTATTACAAAGCCAGATCAACTTACCGTTCTTTCTATCACGAGAAAAAACATTGGAACTGTTTGTTCGATTCAAGATATTTATATGGGCAGGCTTTGTAGGAGCATTTTGTTTCTCTCTACGTCGGTTCAAACAGTTTGTTTCATTCAAGATTCTCATTTAGGCAAGCTTCATAGGAACACGAAGAACACTTGGAGAGTCTGCGGAGAGCAGGGATTTTCTTTTGCCGGCCAGTCAGTCACATCGGCAATCAGCATCCTACCAGCTACAGACTCTAATTGCCCACAGGATTGCTCCACAAACGATCTATTTGTAAGTTAGATTTTCACATTAAAGCTATAAGTGCGAAACTTTGAATAGTCACGAAGAGATTTCATTATGAAGAAATAATCTTCCATGCTTTGTTATGCAAGAGCTACATGAACATCATCTGTTAGATTTGTTTGTTGGATTCATTCTTGGACAATTCTCATAAAGTACAGGTCTGCATCTGAGATATATCAGAATTATTTCTTTTTTGGAAGAGAACATGCACTGTTTATTTCGA